AGTCGTCGTAGGGAAATCCGCGGGGGATTTAAATATCCCCCGCGGCATTTAAATAACTCTTATTCCTACTTTGAAGTAAGAATAAGAGCCTCCGGAAAAGGGCACTTTTTCCGGAGGATCGGGGCCAGTCTAGACGCTCTTTTCCGGCTTTTTTAAAAGCCGGAAAAAAGCGGCGGACATTTTTATTTAAATGCCGCGGGGGATATTTAAATCCCCCGCGGATTTCCCTACGACGACTAGAGAAATTTACATGCCCCTTCCGGAAAAGGGGCCAGTGTAGACGTAGCCGAACTGTACTGATTGTGGATCATTTAGAACAACTGAGGTTTACACAAAAAGCTATTTTTAATCTCAGCAATAGCACAATTGTCACTCTGCAGTAATGTCCAATGACTGCTTGGTGGGTGGTTCCTCCTTCACGGGATGAGGGAACCTGACCATGCCCAGTTATCTATATGGAGTTATCTCAACACAAGCCCTGCTTCCCTACTATTTGCTAGGGGGCCTTAAGTCTCTCCAGCTAGGGGATCAAAATGAAGGTCACAATCCCCTCCACACACACATATATTAAAGGATAGTCTGGGAAAGGGAGTATCTGTCTTACCCTGGATGTCCATATACTCTCCCCAGGGTTGGCTGCCTAGAATCATAGAATACTAGGACTAGAAGGGACCTCAAGAGGTCCCCTGCCCTCATGGCAGGACCCAGTACTGTCTAGAATATCCCTGATAAGACATTTATCTAACCTACTCTTAAATATCTCCAGAGATGGGGATTCCATAACCCCTCTAGGCAATTTATTCCAGTGTTTAACCACCCTGACAGTTAGGAACTTTTTCTAACCTAAACTTCCCTTGCTGCAGTTTAAGCCCATTGCTTCTTGTCCTATCCTCAGAGGCCAGGAAGAACAAGTTTTTTCCCATCCTCCTTGTGACACCCTTTTAGATACTTGAAAATTGCTATCATGTCCCCTCTCAGTCTTCTCTTCTCCAAACTAAACAAGCCCAGTTCTTTCAGTCTTCTTTCATAGGTCATGTTCTCTAGACCTTTAATCATTCTTGTTGCTCTTCTCTGAACCTTCTCCAATTTCTCCACGTCTTTCTTGAAATGTGGCGTCCAGAACTGGACACAATACTCCAACTGAGGCCTAATCAACAGGGAAAGACTGACTTCTCGTGTCTAGCTCATAAAGCATCATTTTGGCTTTTTTTGCAACAGCATCACACTGTTGACTCATATTTAGCTTGTGGTCCACTATAACCCCTAGATCCCTTTCTTCCATATTCCTTCCTAGACAGTTGCTTCCCATTCTGTATGTGTGAAACTGATTGTTCCTTCCTAAGTGGAGTACTTTGCATTTGTCCTTATTAAACTTCATCCTGTTTACCTCAGACCATTTCTCCAATTTGTCCAGATCATTTTGAATTATGACCCTATCCTCCAAAGCAGTTGCAACCCCTCCAAGCTTTGTATCGTATGCAAACTTAATAAACGTACTCTCTATGCTGATAATCTAAATAGTTGATGAAGATATTGAACAGAAACTGGTACCAAAACAGACCCCTGTGGAACCTCAATTGTTACTCCTTTCCAGCAGGATTGTGAACCGTTAATAACTACTCTTTGGGAACGGTTATCCAGCCAGTTATGCACCCACCTTATTGTAGCCCCATCTAAGTTGTATTTGCCTAGTTTATTGATAAAAATATCATGCGAGACTGTAACAAATGCCTCACTAAAGTCTAGGTATACCACATCCACTGCTTCTCCCTTATCCACAAGACTTGTTATCATATCAAAGAAAGCTATCAGATTGGTTTGACATGATTTGTTCTTTACAAATCTATGCTGGCTGTTCCTTATCACCTTATTATCTTCCAAGTGTTTGCAGATGATTTCCTTAATTACTTGCTCCATTATCTTTCCTGGCACAGAAGTTAAACTGACTGGTCTGTAGTTTCCTGGGTTGTTTTTATTTCCCTTTTTATAGATGGGCACTATATCTGCCCTTTTCCAATCTTCTGGAATCTCTCCTGTTTTCCATGATTTTCTAAAGAGGATAGCTAAAGGCTCAGATACCTCCTCTATCAGCTCTTTGAGTATTCTAGGATGCATTTCATCAGGCCCTGATTACTACAGACATCTAACTTTTCTAAGTTAATTTTAACTTTTTCTATTTTTATTTTATCTTCTAAATCTACTCCCTTCCCACTAGCATTCACTATGTCAGGCATTCTGTTTCCCTCTTGCTCAGTGAAGACCGAAACAAAGAAGTTATTAATCATCTCTGCCATTTCCAAGATTTCTGTTACTGTTTCCCCCTCCGCACTGACCAGTGGACCTACCCTGTCCTTGGTCTTCCTCTTGCTTCTAATATATTTATAGAATGTCTTCTTGTTTCCCTTTATGCCTGTAGCTAGTTTGGGCTCGTTTTGTGCCTTCGCCTTTCTAATCTTACCCCTGAATTCCTGTATTATTTGCCTATATTCATCCTTTGTAATTTGTCCTAGATCAAGGGATCTGGAGTGTCAGAGGGGCTCTGAGCTGCTCCGGGAGCAGGCAGTTGGGATGCAGGAGGGGGTTCTAGGTGCAGGCTCGGGGAGGGTGTTTGGATGAAGGGGTGCTTGGGACTAGGGCAGGGGTTTGCGGTGCAGGAGGAGGTTCATAACTGGGGTAGGAGTTTGGGAGGTGGGCTCAAGCTGAGCACTGCTTACCTCAGATGGCTCCTGGGTGTTGGTGTAGTGGGGCTAAAGCAGGCCCCGCCCCGCCCCGCCCCACTCCACTCCACTCCCAAAAGTAGCCAGCAAACTCCCTCCCAAGTCCTATTGTGCCCCCTCTCTGCTCTGTGGAGACAGGATACAGAGTGGGAGGGAGGCACCTTGACATCAGCACCTTCCTTGCCCTGCCCTGCCCTGCCCTGAACAGCAAGCAGGAGGCTCCCTGGGATAGGAGGGGAGGAGCTCCAAGGCAAAGGGCAGGAGATGCACAGCAGTGGGAGGGGGGTGGATAGTTGAAGTCCCCCATCACCACCAAATCCTGCACTTTGGATGATTTTGTTCGTTGTTTAAAAAAAAGCTTCCTCCACCTCTTACGCCTGGGTATTATCCCACCAAGTCTCTGTGATGCCAACGATGTCATAGTTGTATTTATTTATTAGCACTTCCAGTTCTTCCTGCTTATTACCCATACTTCTTGCATTTGTATATTGGCATACTGATTTGATCTTGCCCCCCAGTTCTGCCTTATCCCTCCTTTTTCTCTGCTATTATAGCCCAAACTCCTTCCCATTTCCAACCCATCTCCCAGGTCTCCATGTTCTTCACTTACCTGTGGGCTTTGGTTACCTGTCCCCGTTGAATCTAGTTTAAAGTCCTCCTCACTAAGTTATCCAGTCTTTATCCAAATATGGTCTTCCCCTACCTCAAAAGGTGAATGCCATCCCTGCTTAGCAGTTCTTCCTGGAATAGCATCCTGTCGTAGAGGAAGCCAAAGCTCTCCTGGTGAGAGTTTCAAAAGTTCCCGTTACAGTTTCAAAAGTCACTCCAGTCTGAGAGTTACTACTGAGAACAGCCTCTTTCCATCTCTTTGGAACCTCCCTTCAGGTAGTTGGAGGTTGCTATCAAATCCCCCCTCACTCTTCTCTTCTGTAAACTAAACAAGCCCAAATCCCTCAGCTACTCCTTGTAAATCATGTGCTCCAGCCCCCTAATCATTTTTGTTGCTGTCTGCATACAGTAGTTTATAACTGGTATCTAAAGTTTAGCATGTACTTCAGGTCCTTTGGCGGAAAGATATTAAACAAGATTGTTATTTTTATTCCTAAGTGCTTCATCTCTGAAATAATATCAAAAGCTTTGGCAAATTCCACTTCTGAAGCATTAATCAGACATATATAGATGTTCAAAGGTGTCCCTTTCAGAAACGGCCATCAAACATTTCTCACTATAAGGTGAGAACCTCTGTGGTCCAGGACTCTCTGGTATGGCAACATCAGGACCATGGACGTTGATGGACCAGAATACCCCAGCAGTAGACCTTGACAGCGAGAATGGAGCTAGCCGTGGAGTCAGCAGGGCAGAAGAGCCCATGGAGTACAATAACCCATAGCTGGTAGGGCAGGGAACCATGTGTGTCGGTGGGAGCCCCCCAAGATTGGCAGGGTGAAACTCACAGGCCTATGGACCAAACAGGGCTGCCAGGACCACTGGAGCTCACGAGGCAGCAAAACTGGTGTGGCTGCAGGAGCTCATGGAGCTGCCACAGTTGGAGGGTGTGGGGGGACAGAGGTGCCAGGTGGTTGGAGAGAGAATCCCAGTGGAAAATCTGATGCCCCACCCCAGATGTCCCCATTCTGGGAAACTCCCTTGTCTAGGACCAGTCAGTTCCCAAGGTGCCATACCCAGGAGGTCCAACCTGTACTTCAAAATATTTTCAAATCTAGATTACTACTGTCAGGATCTTAAATCCGTATTTATACTCCTATATTAAAATGGCCTAGTTTTCCAATGTTCTGTGTACTTGCATCTTCCACTAATGTATTTCAGTGATAAGTGACGTGATCCCCTAATAAATAAATTTACAAAATTTGATGAGCCAAAAGATTATATCTATGTGATTAAGTGCGCTTGTGCCACAGAGCACTGAAGCTATGTTACAATAGCACAGCAAATGTTCTCAGTCAGTCAGTGGGGGGTGTGAGGAAGGGAAAGAAAAGTATCACTCTAGCATAGTGGAAGAGAGGGGGAATTCACCTCTTTCTCCTCCTCTTCTACTGGCCATGATTTGCTCGTGGTTTCACGCTTACAAACCGAGACAATTCCAATGGCTCCTTTTTACACCACGCACACGGAGGAAAATCTCAGCTATTTCATCTGCTCATATCTCCAGTGATTTATTCCAATCAGATGTGCACAATTCCTGAGAACCTCATGAAGACCTGTAAAGAGCCACAGGCATCTAAAGAGTCATGGATTAAGTATCAGAGGATTAATTGAACTGCATTGAGTTCCAAAGGAGATGGACCACAGAACTTATTCAGTGAAAACAGGAAAGTTATGATTTCTGTCAGAAACAATTTTTAATCCCAACAAAACCCTATTTAATAACATGGCAAAGATACCATTAAAAAGGGAATATTATTAACTTTCAATAATTTCTAGAAATCAATATGGAATCTGTTTTGGCAAAAACACTGCAGTCTTCTACCAAGATAAACATTTTATGCAGTTATGTAAGCAATAAAAATAAAATGTTTTATACAATTTACCCAGAAGGATTTATAAAGTATTAAAAAATAATTATCCAGAGTTCTTGACATGTACAGCAGCCAAAAATAACATTTAGTACAGCTGAAGATGGTGAGGTCATTTCTTGTATTGCATTCCCAACACTGACCACCTGCAGAGATGCAAAAATAGTCAAAAGTATTCATTTCCCAAATATAGACAGACTGAAAGATTCTCAGTCTCTTACATGATTTTATTTTGCCAAAGGAATGGAATTCAATACACATTTAATGTGCATTACAAGTAGTTGTTCCTATGCAAGATTCCCCCATACATTTATGAAGCTGATACTGTGTTTCCCTGGAACAACAGTGCCCTTATGCTAGTCTTCAGTATTATTTTCCAGCTAATCTAAACAATAACATTGGCATCGTCACTTAAAGTTGAAGTTTTGCTCTTACAAAGTGAGATGTGTCTTTGCCCCATCACAAACAATTATGCAAAAATAAAACAAAATTTTGACTTAGATAATATGTGATGGGAATGTAGCACATTTCTAGTTCTTCTGAATATCATCAGATAGGCTACGTCTACACTGGCCCCTTCTTCGGAAGGGGCATGCTAATTTTGAACTTGGGAATAGGAAAATCCGCGGGGGATTTAAATATCCCCCGCGGGATTTAAATAAACATAGCCGCTGCTTTTTTTCCGGCTTGGGGAAAAGCCGGAAAAAAGCGTCTAGACAGGCGCGATCCTCCGGAATAAAGCCCTTTTCCGGAGGATCTCTTATTCCTACTTTGAAGCAGGAATAAGAGATCCTCCAGAAAAGGGCTTTACTCCGGAGGACGGCCATGTTTATTTAAATCCCGCGGGGGATATTTAAATCCCCCGCGGATTTCCCTATTCCCAAGTTCAAAATTAGCATGCCCCTTCCGAAGAAGGGGCCAGTGTAGATGTAGCCATAATGTAATGCTGATCCAGAAATTAAACAAAGGCCAAAAGCAGATTTCACAATAGATATAATAGTTATATGTTTAAATGAGTCATGACCCAAAAGTCATTATTTCAGAAATTGTCCAGAAACCTAATTTAGGTGGAAGGAGTCCTCTATATCAGAGTGGCTATTTAGCTACTGGAAACACTTATACGAAATTACTGATTGGTTCTAAACCCACAAAAAAGATACAACAAATAATAATGTTACACTTGTATCTTCCATTTGAAGCTCTCAGTGTACTTTATAAACATTAAACCTCAAAACACTCATTAAAGTAAGTAATGGTAATAAATAATAGTATACCAATTTTTAAAAGACGTCTCAAGTGACTTGTCCAAGGTTCCACGGTATTAAGGGTCAGAACCAGAAACACAACTTGTGAGTGAAGATTTGCAGATCCTTCCTTTAATCTTTCTAGACATAAAAATCAACAGAAGATCACTAGTGATGAATCTGGCCTAGTGAGAACTGTCATGTATTGTTTGATGCTATTTTGCTTTGAGAGTAATCTGAAAGATAAGATGTTTTATGCAGCAAAAGAAAACCAAGTATTGTTGCATTCTATATGACTTTACACATGTGGTTTGAATCTGCCTATGGTCAATGGATTACTTGTCATAGTATTAATATTTTCAAATACTACAATACAGTAAGAAATAAAAACTAAAATACTGAGATCATTTCCCCCTTTTCATAGTTAGTCCTATTCATTACTTCTTCAGCCCATGTGTATCAACATTTTCCTTTCTTTGGTCTAAGCTATTCTATCATCTTCTGGGTAACCAAGAATCATACAAAATTCAGAACAAATATTGGGGAGAAACTCTACAGTTGTTTTACTTTCTACTCATCAGATTTTTTGTTTTTGTTTTTTTTCCTGGAGGACAAAGCCAAATTTTTTATCCCAAACTATTTTAAATTTAAAAAAAAATGCAGATTCAGATTGATCAAAATATTTCGTGAATTTGTATTGTATTCACCAAATTGTTTTCAGTAAAAACAACTACATAAAATCAGAAAAAATAAAATTTATTTAAAAAAATGTCAAAACAAAAATATTTCAGGTGAAATGAACCATTTAATTTTTCAGCACAGAGAAGGAGCACAAAACACTATAGTCTCTAACTTTTTAACCTGAAGTTTCCCCAAAGTCCTACACAGACTCAAACCCTTTCAGACTGGCATACACTATCTGGAGGCTAGGGCTGCTGTCATCTAACAATGGCAAAAAATCACAGAATAATTTTTTTCTAACACTGAACTTCTTTAATGTAGTAAAGAAAACAATAGTCACACATAAACTACTCCAGAGGTGGCCAACCCATGGCTCTCAAGCCGCATCCGGCTCTTTGATTAAAGAAATGCAGTTCCTGCTGGTTCTGAGCCACACGCCGGTACTGCTTACAGCTGGCTGCTCTGAGCATGCGTCCCAGTGCCTGGAGGGAGAAGTGCGTGACAGCAGCTCTGGGACCCAGGCATTAGGGTAGAGCGGGGAGGGGGAGAGGCATTGGGTTATAGCAGGACGGCTGAGGGTGCCTGGCTCTGCGGGAGGGAGGGGGATTCGGTTAGAGCGGGAGGGGGGAGGAGGGAGAGGCTGAAGCACCTTAAACTCAAAGTCTTCGTGGATGCAGAATAAGGCAGCCAACAAACACAGATGTCATTTAAATTCCAGGGCAAAAAAAGAATCCACATGTACCTGGTTTACACTGTGGGGTTTTTTGGGTCAGGACCCCTGCAATTACAGTACCATGACATTTTATATTTAAATAGGATTTAAAAAATAATAAATTTCATTATTTCACCTATGACTGTGAAATTGACCAAAATGGACAGTGCATTTGATAAGGTCTTAGCTATGTCCAAAGGAAATGAAAAAAAACAGCAGCAGCATTCCTTTGTAAAAGGGTTGGACAAAGCTCAAATTGGCTAGCAAGATCCACTGGTGAAGCTTAAAATTTTCTGGCTGCCTAAATGCAAGTTTTGGCACTTGAACTTGTCTGCAATTTGGCAGCATTTGTACTTTTAAAAAATATTACTGTATTAAACACAGAGGTCATCGAGTTCAAACCCCTGCTGAAAGCATGACCAAACTCAACTAAATCCTAGCCAGGGCTTTGTAAGTCAGGACTTAACCTCTAGGGATGGAGATTCCACCACCTCCTTAGGTAACCCATTTCAGTGCTTCACCACCCACCTAGTGAAATAGTTTTTCCTAATATCCAACCTAGACCTTCCTCACTGTAACTTGAGACCATTGCTCCTCATTCTGTCATCTGTCACCACTGAGAACAGTCTCTTTCCATCTTTTTGGAACTTTTAGTTGAAGGCTGCTATCAAATCCCCCTTTTTCTTTTTTTCTGTAGACTAAACAAGCCCAAATCCCTTTGCCTCACCTCATAAGTTATGTGTTCCTGTCCCCTAATCATTTTTGTTGCCCTCTGCTGCACTCTCTCCAATATGTCCACATCCTTTCCGTAATGGGGGGCCCAGGACTGGACACAGTATTCCAGTGCCAAATAAAGGGGAATAATCACTTCTTTAGATCTTCTGGAAATGCTCCTATTAATGCACCCCAATATGCTATTAGTCTTCTTGGCTACAAAGACACACAGTTGACTCATATCCAGTTTCTCAGGTCCTTTTCTGCAGAACCACTGCTTAGCAAGTCAGTCCCCAGACTGCAACAGTGTTTGAGATTCTTCTGTCTTGTATTTTATGAAACTCAAGGGTTTCTGAATAAATATGCTAACATAAATATCAGTGGTTCACACATAGTATGCTGATGTTGAAATTCAGGTATTTAGTTTACACATAAATTGTGGTGTTTGAGAGAACAAAAAAGCCAGGCCATAAAGCAATTTCTTTTGGTTGACACACACTGATTAGTGACTGAATGATGTATCGGACTTACAACCAGGAAAGTATAGTGCAGGAAATACCAGAACTAGAGGCCTGAATCTGTGACTGAATGGAGAGAGAACTTCAAAAGAATCATGAGCTGGTTTTATGGAGACACAAGAAAAAATATCAAAGACACAAGAAGATCATAGAGGTAGGAATCAATTGAAGACTGCGAAAAAAGTAAAAAAGTCTCCCTACCAGGAATGTGTCAGGAACACAGATAATCCAATAATTTTAAATGGCAAAGGAGAGCAATAGAGACATGAAGTCATGTCAAGGTCTTTGGAGGTCCTGTTAAGAAATCTCCATAATGTATTCTTGTATACCAAGAACTTAATATTAACAAAATCTAAAACTGAAGACTGAGGCATATGAAGTCATAAGCCCTTTTCTGCTTGATATTTTATAATTGCTTGCATTCATTTGGGGGGCGGGGACCAAAACAGCATAGGAATATTATTTACTTTATCTGGTGGCATGTGCCAGTAAAGTCATTACCATCCTGAATCTGGCTTAAATGGTCCAATGGGCTTGGTGTCCTTTGCCCATTTTTTTTTTAAAGTCTAGTTCATTTATGCTCAGCAGAGAAAGAAATGCTGCAACTGATAGTGTGGTAAAAAAATTGGACAACAGTTACCACTGGTGTGACAGGCTAGACATGGAAATCTTTGATTGAACCGTCAGAGGTATGCCAGGTTTAATTTTAATAATGTAACATCTGAAGCAAATATTATTCTCATAACAGGGTGGGCTCCACTTAAAATGCTACAACTGCACTGTAACACCATTGTATTGCTTTGATGTGGGCACTAACTATGTCTATGGGAGGAATTCTCCCATCAGTGTGGGTAATCCACCTTCCTGAGGCCATGTCTTCACTCTGAGGAATATCGACTGGAGTTTGATCTTCTGGAGTTCTATTTAGTGGGTCTAGTAAAGACCCGCTAAATTGAACTCCATGGGCGCCCTCATCAGCAGCGGGTACTTCTGCTCCTGTGAGGAGTAAGGGAAGCACTCCTGTTGGTTACAGCTGCTGAAGTCCTGGGGTCACCTTGAGATACTGCCACAGGTGAAAGTAAGGAGGTGCACCTTGGTGCACAGCTCCCGCAAGAGCTGGCTGAGCAATGGCAAAAAACAGCAGGGGAATATTTAAAGAATGAGCAAGGACCTATTTAAAGATCTGTCAGGAACTCAGAGACGGGAAGCTATTTTAGAGAGCTGTTGATGGGCTATTTAAAGGGAAATTAAGGATTTACAGGGGGTATCTCACATTGCTGCTGGTTTCCATGCCGCAGTGCTCCCACAGAGACAGCCCACATCTCCCTCCTGGGCAGGTAAGGTTACCCGGCCCCAGCTCCTTCCCTCCATGTTCTCCTCCACCCCCCAGAAGATGCCAAATCAAGGGAGGATGAGAAGCTGACAAGTGCACCTGATCCACCTCAACCTATTTACTATGGTGAGCCACATATGCATCTCTCTGTGTTATGTGGGACACATACACACACAATATATATATATATATACACACACACTACCTCTATGGACCTGAAGATATTGCATGTGTTGCAGTTGTGAGCTGACATGGTGAGCTGACATGGGCACAAGCAGTCTGATCTGCAGGTTGTGAACCACTTCCCCAGAGCACCACACTTGCTATGAGTAAAGCTGGCTTTCAGTCCTCTTTGGCACTTTCAATGCACATGCTCACTGTAAACCTAACCCTAATCCTTTAATTATATATATTTTATATTCACGATATGTTACATTACTAATCCTCTTCTGGTTTCAGTTTTTACTTCTTGTGAAGTGGAACAGATTCACTTCTGCTCTGATGTGATGTAACTGAACTGTCTGGGCCTCACTCATAGATGCTAAAAGTAAATCCTTTTGCTGAAGTAAAGAAGTTTAATATTCAGTGTATAAAAAGTGATTGGCATAACCTCCTCCAGCCTTAACAGATTAGTCTATTGTGTCAGTGCACAATTTACAGTAGAAAGTAATTTAAAAAACACCTCCTAAGAATATACATTCCCCCACTTCGGAAGAGGGAGGATGGATAAAATAGTACATGTAAAAAATTTAAGTTAATTTCATCCTCCTGTAAATAATTACCATAGCTAGAGTTGCATATCTTGATTCCACTGTCTACTTTAGAGTAGACTTGGCCAAAGAGGAGGTAGCAAGGTTGATGGAAGAATTCTTCCATCGACCTACTGCTGCCTGCATAGGGATTTAGGTCAGGCTAACTACACTGCTCAGGGTGCATATGGATTTTTTCCATGCCTGAGCAACATAGTTACATCAACCTAATTTTCTGAAGTAGACAGGGCCTTGACCTCTCTCCATTGTACTTCCAGTGCTTTTTAACTACTCTCTCAGCTAACCAATAATTAGCTCTTTAGCCCCCCTCTTCCCCAGTACAATTAGGTAATTAACTATTTTATTTTCCCTGGTTGGGGGGGGGGGGGGAGAGAGTGAGAGAGAGGAGAATAATGAACATTTAAGTAATCAGAGTTGCCAACCCAGCCACTAGCTCTCAGCATCCAGTTACAAATCTCTTGAATAGATCTGAAGTCAGAACAAGATAGCTTGTACAGTTCTTTTCACAGCACAGAACACAGAGCTAACATTACAATTACCTTCTCACCAGTTGCTCTGCAGGTGCTACTTTTGAGACCAACTCTTGGGGATGAGATGAACAGGGAAACGGGGCAGCACCTTCCATTCCTGTCATGGCCCATAGTCATGGACTTGAGATTTCATGAGCTTTCGTGGGCACAACCCATTTCTTCAGATGACTGGAGTGTTGGAAGTCCAGAACCAAGAATAAATAGGGGGGAGGGAATTGAAGGGGAGGAAGAAAAGAAGACAGTGAGAAGATAAGCTTCAGAGGGATAGCCCAGTGAGTCTGTAACAGGAAAAACTTAAACAAGAAACAATCTAGTAACATCTCAAAGATTAAATAGTTACAAGAGGCTGATAAGAACCATTAGTAAGCACTTTGAAAGGAAAATGACCAACACCAGATTCTCAACAGACATCAAGAACCATTAGCACCTTCATTGTTTGGTTGGTTGGTTGATAATGCATGAGCCATCCAATAACAAAAACTTTCAGGATATATATAGAGCATTCTTAAAACTGAAATATACACCTGGAGAAGTGAAAAACAGATTGGGAGAGGCAAAAAAGTATCCAGACACGAACTCCTTCAAGACAGGCCCAAAAGAGAAAACAACAGAATTCCACTTATTACCTACAGTCCACAACTTAAACCCCTCCAACGCATTATCAAAAATATACAACCGATCCTAGAAAATGACCCCTCACTCTCAGAGACCTTGGGGGAAAGGCCAATTCTGGCTTACAGACAACCCCCTAACCTGAAACAAATTCTTTCCAGTACAGGCAGTCCCCGACTTACGCGGATCCGACTTATGTCGGATCCGCACTTACGAACGGGGCTTTTCTCGCCCCGGAGTTCACGGGCGGCGGGCCCCACCCCGTCCTCCGGGGCGAGAAAAGCTGCTCCGGGTCTCCCTGGTGTGCACAGCAGGGAGACCCGAGCAAAACCGCAAAGGCGGCGGGACCCCACTGCCCGCGTGGCTTTGCTTCTTTGCCCCGGAGCAAAGCCGCACAGGCGGCGGGGTCCCCCACCTCTGCGGCTTTGCTCCTGTCTCCCTGCTGTGCTGGGGAGGAGTCCCCCCCAGCACACCAGGGAGACCCGGAGCAGCTTTTCTCGCCCCGGAGGACGCGGTGGTGGGACCGCTGCGCTCTGGGCGGTCCCGCCGCCCGTGAACTCCGGGGCGAGAAAAGCCCCGTTCGTAAGTGCGGATCCGACATAAGTCGGATCCGCGTAAGTCGGGGACTGCCTGTACTGGAAAGAATTTGTTTCAGGTTAGGGGGTTGTCTGTAAGCCAGAATTGGCCTTTCCCCCAAGGTCTCTGAGAGTGAGGGGTCATTTTCTAGGATCGGTTGTATATTTTTGATAATGCGTTGGAGGGGTTTAAGTTGTGGACTGTAGGTAATAAGTGGAATTCTGTTGTTTTCTCTTTTGGGCCTGTCTTGAAGGAGTTCGTGTCTGGATACTTTTTTGCCTCTCCCAATCTGTTTTTCACTTCTCCAGGTGTATATTTCAGTTTTCCAAATCCAGCCGCTGTTGAAACTGATCAGCGGCTGATTCCAGGAAGCCGGGGGCAGAGCAACTCTGCCTAGGGCTTCCTGTAGTTAGCCACTGATCAGTTTCAGCAGCGGCTGAATCTGGAGCCAGTTCCGACTTACATACAAATTCAACTTAAGAACAAACCTATAGTCCCTATCTTGTATGTAACCCGGGGACTGCCTGTAACGATCAAATGCCAGCAATGCCTCACTGCAATGCATATCGGCCAAACTGGACAGTCTCTACGGGAAAGAATTAATGGACACAAATCAGATATTCGAAAAAGGCAACACACAAAAACTTGTTGGAGAACACTTTAAACTGACTGTGGAATTGGTCTGAAATAAAATAGCAACTTGGATATCCATTAATGAGTGTCCAGGAAATTTAAAAGAGATGAGGAGTCTTGTGGCACCTTATAGACTAACTGAAGTGTAGGAGCATAAGCTTTCGTGGGCAAAGACCCACTTCGTCAGATGCATGCATCTGACGGAGTGGGTCTTTGCCCACAAAAGCTTATGCTCCTACACTTCAGTTAGTCTATAAGGTGCCACAAGACTCCTCATCTCTTTTAAATTTCCTGGACACTCATTAATGGATATCCAAGTTGCTATTTTATTTCAGACCAATTCCACAGTCAGATACTGAGAAGGATTGGAGCTTAACTTTATTCACAAGTTTAATTATTATGCCTATGGTTTGAATCGGGATATCAGAGGACTTGCACATTATCAACCAACAAATGAAGGTGCTAATGGTTCTGGATACGGTTTAGAATCTAGTGTTGACCATCTTACTTTCCAAGTGCTAACTAATGGTTTTTAATCAGCCTCTGGAAACTATTTAGTCTTTCAGATGCTACTAGAACTTTTTTTATTGTTAAGTTTTTCCTGTTACAGACTCACTGGGCTATTCCTCTGAAGCTTTTCTCCCCCCTTGCCTTATTTATTCTTGCATCTGGACTTCCAATACTCTGGTCATCTGAAGAAGTGCCTTGTGCCTATGAAAGCTCATAATACCAGCTACATGGTTTGTTAGCCTTTAAGGTGCTACTAGACTATTGTTCTTTAAGTTTTTCCTGCTACAGACTAACTCTGCTACCCCCTCTGAAGCTTTTGAGATTTCATGTCTGTCCATCCAGGTTGCATGAGGCTGGGCACCACGGACAGGGAGAGCGGGAAAGAGCTAGAGAAAGGAAGCCAGAGAGTCGGATGCTGTGCCCAACCTCTCTGCATGGCTGCTCTCCGGGTGTCTGCTGCAGCCGGCCCCGAACGCAGCGCCCCAGGCAAGTCCCTGCAGGCACCGGGCGCCTGTCCCGGGACTCCCCTGCGCAGCTGGGCTCGCCAGAACGTTCCATAAGCCCGATGCGCAATCCATTGTTCTGGGCTCGCCTCTAGGGAACCTCAGTCGAGCGCCGATCAAGAGGCGGGGGGTCAAGATTACGCCTCTCGTCACTAATGACGTCAAGCTAGGGGAGAGAGTGTCAATTTGTAGCTCCATAGGTGGGTGCGTCTCTCCGCCCCCTTCACGTGAGGCGGGGAATCCGCGCATGCGCACTCCTTCGCGGAAGAAAGGGGGTGGTGCCGGGGACGGGCCATGATGCCCACCCCGCGGCACGGGCACGTGGGCCCGCACGGGCCCTTCAGCGAGGGGTACGAGCCGGGCGAG